GGGTTCTTCCTCAACTGCACCGTGATAAGTACTACACCTTAGTGCTCCACAGGTAAAAGAATGAAGAAAGAGACAGGTAGTTCTCCAGAAGTTACATGGCTTCCGTGATGGGACTGGGCTGGAAAGAGGGAAGGAAAGGAAACCCAGGCTTAAGAATCAGGCAAATTTCAGTGGTTCCAATGAGACAGAAAAGCATTAAGCAGAAAAGTCAATGTGATATTTGTTTTGAAAAGAAAAAAAAATGGAAAAATCATTTTCTTGAACTGGAACTAGAAAAACTCTTTTGACCAATTAATAAATAGTATCTACTTGCTTTCTGCTCTGTTCTTAACATTTGATAGCTGAAGTGGATGGATGTAAGACAAAAGACATGCTTACTTTCACAGATTATCTAATTTCTCTTTCACTCTTCTCTTTATAGCAAGCTTGGGTGCCAGGGGCTAGGTCAGATCTCTGGGGAGGCAGAATTAAGCTCCCAATGTATTCTTGGTGTTGTCAACCAACTGGCTCCCAGGTGAGAAGAACATTTTTGGCAGTAAGAGCAGTACACAGCAGGTGAGAGACCTCAAGAAAAGGCAAGGGACAAGAGGCAGGCACGTGGTTCTGGAGACAAATAAACACAATTAGCTGTGCTAGAAACTAACTGAAAAGACTCAGTGGGAAGATTTTGATTCCTTCTGCTAAGAGAGCAAACCAAAGAAAAATTCATTTCAAAAAAAGCTTTCTAGCTCCCTAGTAGCTGTCACCCAATGACAGTCACATTTTCTGCTGAGTCCTTTTTCACTGTGGATTATTTCTCCAACATTCTTCAAACAATGTAAAAATAATGGTTTGACTGCTTTGTCAGTTTTCCTGCCTAAATAGAATCCATTATTCTTTCAAGCTAGTCTTTTCATTCCTGGAGATGACCACTCAGGCTTTTCATAGTCATTCGGTGCCTTTGTACCTAAGACCCAATTTGCAGCAATGCTGGGGTGGCTGAATTCATGGAAATCAATAGTCATGTCCCTGGGAGTTTGCTTATAGTCCCAGGATCCAGTTCTATAGTTTGAGGATTAGCTACAGCAGAAGGGATCCAGTGACAACCATAGGGCACAGGACAGGCTCTGGAGTTAGGCAGTTTGGGTGTGCATGTTGTCTCTGCCTCTTACAAGTCGGGTGACCTGGGCAAGTCACTTAACCTCTTTGTGTCTCATGGTCCTCATCTGTAAAACAGAGATGAAAATGGTACCTCACCAATAGGATTGTTTTGAAGTGTAAGAAATTATAATAAGAGCCCTTATCTTTTAGAATCACATTCTCAAATATTCACAAATACTATATCTGAGATTAGCTTCAAAATAACCTGGAGGTAAAGTATGCACAAAGGTATGGCCATGGATTGATAATTACTGAAGTGGGAGGATGAGCACTTAGGGGCTTATTATACCATTCTGTCCACTTCTGTCTGTCTGAAAATTTCTATAGTGTGAGAGAGAAGAGAGAGAGCAAGAAAAAGACTACAGCAAAACTCTTAGCACACAACATGTGCTCAATAAATAGAATCTGTTATAGATCAGGAAGGGTTTTTAAAGACATTGTTCCCAGGTCACACGGGCATCATGAGACTAGCCTGCCTCTCTAGAGACATGCATGGGTCACCAGCATGAGGCAGAAAGGTAAGATACACTGAGAACTTCACTGTCACTCAAGGCCATCCATGAGTGCCCAATCTTTCACCATCAAAAATAAGAATAAAAAGTTGTTATTAGTTCTCTATGCTTTGGAAGTTTACTAAATCAACCACATTCATTAAGTATTTATTAGCCCATTTTGGCAGGGGGGGTGGTGGTATTATAGAGTATTGAACTCAAGGGCACTTAACCACTGAGCCACATTCCCAGTCCTATTTTGTATTTTATTTAGAGACAGGGTCTCACTGAGTTGCTTAACACCTTGCTTTTTTGCTGAAGCTGGCTTTGAACTCTTGATCCTCCTGTCTCAGCCTCTTGAGCTGCTGGGATTACAGGTGTGCACCAACGTGCCCAGCTACCCCATATTTTTCACAGACACACACAATCACAAGTTAGCTGTAGATGAGCTGGTGGGTGACTCCAAACTGAGCTATCACCCCAGCCCGAAGAAAAACACTTCTTAATTTTCATGATCTGTTAGCAATTTGCCACACATACACATGGATTTGTAGGCATATGAAATAATGAAAAAAAATTTTAATGAACCCACTCTAAACCCTAGGTTTATGCCTCCAGTAGGTTCAGGGATAGCAATTCAGAGTCAGCCCCAACTTCTGAAATTTCTTAGGGTAATGAGTTGGACAGATAGAACTAATCTCCTCCTAACTAATCCCAGGCTAGATATTAAGGGAGCCCTTTATTAAATCAGGATTCCCAAACTCTATTTCATGGCCCCTCACAAACAAGGAATTTGCCATTCCAGCTCTGACACTAACTCTCATAGCCTTGGGTTGGCCACTTCATCTCTGTTTTCTCATTTGCAAACCCTCCCAAGGTCTTTGCAGGGATTAAAGATAAAGCAAGTAAAGTACATTGTATAATAACTGGAACACAGTAATTGCTCAAAACATAGTAATTGTTCTATGTCTCTGGGAGTCTTTATGTATGGTTATATTATTATCACTTTTGGAATTTGATTAGTATTTAGACCCCAAGGTTCTCCATGTCATGAGATAGATCGCCACATAATTAGAAACAGTTCAATATTTTCCTTCTATTCCATGTGACAAAATTTTGATGCAGGTGCATTGTCTTCTCCATAGAGCTGTGATATATGGATAACTATGTTATAACCATCTGTACATATATCCTATCCTATGTATGAATCACATAGCATAAGACATATAAATGTCCTGTAAATGTCTTGTGACATTATCTTTTAAACTGAAAGAAAACTATAAGAAGTAAAAAAATAAAGAGAAAAGTATGATCCAATTCAAGTCCAGAAAGACTATTGTTTTTATTATGGAATGCTTGTTGAATGTCACTCTCTGTATATTGCTCTGCATGTCAGTGGATGGGAGAAGTATAAATAATAAAGCTGGAAATCCCTTAACAAAGACTTTAATGGTCTTTGGGTTCTCTACAAAGGGAAGTAAACCTTATATACTCTTCTTAAAATCTTGATGTCATCCATTACCTCTATTATACATTAAAATTCATCATAATTATTATTAATTTGTTCATTCCACAAATACTGCTCTGATGTGGTATTGAATTCTCCACACATAGGAAAGTAGGGATAGTCTAAGAATAGTCTAAGAATAGACTATTGAAGCTTATGGTACTTTCTCAGACCTGCAGAGAAGAAAATCTCCCTTCAACCATGGCTCAGTTCAACCTGATCATCTAACTCAGTTGACCTAATGCAGCAAGAAGACTCCCCACCTTTGAGGAAGGGACATTTTTAAATTTACATGAGATCACATGAAGTCTAACTCATCCACTATAAGCTTCTGAGCAGGTAATTAACTGATGCCCTCCAACTTACAAAGGGCTTGAGATTTGCTTTGCCTTGGTGGTGTTAGTCCTGCATACAAGCATTAAAAAGTCATGATAATTACTTTCTCCACCCATTTTTTAAAGCAAAGTATCATCTTTAAAACCCACCTCCAAACTGTAACCTCCATACAGCAGGGATTATACTTTTGCTTATCATTTCTTCCCCGTGTTTAGCACAGACTCTTGTACCTGCTGGCTTCAACATTTGATAAATAAATGAATGAAAAGGTATCCTCTGGTTCTGAGACCACTGACAAGTCTACCAAGATATCACTCCACAAGGGTTAGTGTTCAGGTTTCTCTTCAGCTAAGTCTACCCAAGTCACAGCATGAATTTCAATGATTCACAGCATTAAGTATCACAAACAACATGGACAAGTACCACAAAATAGGTCTGAGTAACAGAGGGGTTCTCTCTCTCAATCACTGGAAGGTAGAAGACTCCAGACATACAAGGAAAGCTGAATGAAAGCTTCAGGTAGTAGGGCCATTTTCTTCCTCCTTAAGAACCAAGGAGTCTTGGGGCTGAGGATATGGCTCAGCGGTAGAGTGCTCACCTCGCATATTCAAGTCCCTGGGTTCAATCCTCAGCACCAAATATAAATAAATAAAATAAAGTTATTGTGTCCAACTATGACTACAAAAAATAAATTTTTTTTTAAAAAAAGAAACAAGGAGTCTTTTGTTTTATTGTACTAGAGATTGAACCCCCAGGTACTTTACCCCAGAGCTACCTCCCAAGCCCATTTATTATTATTATTATTATTTAATAATAGTGAGATAGGGTCTCATCAAGTTGTTTAGGGCCTCACTAAGTTGCTGAGGCAGGTCTTAAACTCGCAATCCTCCTGCCTCAACCTTCCTGGGACAAGTGTATACCATCATGTCTGATAAGACCAGGAATCTTAAATCTAGAGAAATGCCAACATGCTAGTACTAAAGCAATTGAGAATTTCATTTGGGTAAAGTCTACTCTACTCTTTGGGTAAGTCACAACTCTCTGCATATCAGTTTCCTCATCTGTGAGATGGGACTAATAATATATGTATTTCACAGGGTTGTTCTGAGAATTAAATAAAGTAATATAAATACATTTTGATAAATGCTCAGTTTACAGTAATTATCTTGTAATGCTGAAGCCAGACTCATATTCTACTTGTAGCTCCATTCTTTCTCATAGAGTCTGCTAAATCAGAAGAGGCGGAAAGATATGATGGACAGAGCCCTGTAGCAGTCATCAGAAGCCCTGGGTTCAAGTTCCTGTTTTTTCCATTTTCTTTTTAATAACTTTTTAAATAATTTTTATAGTTGCCAATGGACAAAGGTTTTATTTATTTTATTTATTTATTTATTTTATTTATTTATTTGCAGAGCTAAGAATCGAACCCAGTGCCTCATGCATGCTAGGCAAGCACTCTACCACTGGGTCACAACCCCAGCCCCTGTTTTTGCCATTTTCTCTTATGATTTTGACAAATTTCTTACCCTCTCCAACTTCAAGTTGTAAATTCATCATCTGCAAAAAATAAAAATAAAAATCAACATGATGGTATCTGCTCTTGGATGTCTCATAGGATGGTAGCAAAGATATAATTGACAAGATATATGAAACCACTTTGAAAACTATCCTGCAGATAAACACACAGATGTACTGAACAAGGTAAATTTATCAATATTAATTAAACACTGCTAAAACTCTAAAACAATGGATTTTTTTTAAACTTCTTTACACTATCCCTCATCAAAAGCAAGCCAGCATACACCCATCACTAAAGCAAAAGCTTAACAAAACAATGCTTTATTTTGATATTTTAAATTCTATTCTCTTTTCTCTCCTTTTTAAATGCTGGTCCTTAATTTCAGAAGGCAGTGGTTTTTGTCCTTCAACTTTCAACAGGCATCAGAATCATCTGAGAAGCATTTAAAAAATCTGATGCCCAGGCCCTACCCACTGAGACTGCATCAGTGGTTTGAGGTGGTTTTGGGGCAGCCCCAGGTTATCCTATTATACAGCTCTAAAGGTTTCTAGCTCACGGCCAAATAACCACTGTTATTTAGTCTCAGTCTGCTAAACACTCTGTGGCCTGGAGTTTGCCTCACCTCCACCCCCATCTCTGTCCTGAAGATCAGCATGTTACTGTGAATTGATTACTCACTCATATGGCTCCAGGGTGGTGAGGAAAAACAGAAAGAAATGGAGATTAAAGTGGAATCTGGGCTTTCCCCTCTCAGATGGTAGGATAATGCGATGCAAAACAAAAACAAACGTGGATTGGAATATTTTGTTAAAAGCAAGGAGATCCCCTGCAAGTATTCTGTGCTCAATACAAGGAGCTAAAGAAAAACTGAGAGAAACTGCCAGTCCTCCTTGCCTGCTCACACAGCAGAGGAAGCTCACACCAAGAGTAGACAGGGATCTGAGAAGAGCCTTCTGTAGTCTGGGAGATAAGCTCAGTGAGAAGGAGCACCATAGCCTGGCTGTCTCCTTCTTCCAGGTGTAGCCCAATGGAAACAGAAAACTTCATCCTCGGCTCATCTTTCCTCTATACAAGACAAGTCTGAAGAACTGTCCTGTTCATTTGGTTGGGGTGACCTGCAGACTTTATCTAGCCGTTGGTAGAACTTGGGCCAGAATGCAGAAGGAACAAGAAGTATATTCCTCTCCCCTACCTTTGGACCCAAGGATAGATCAAGAAACTTGGCTTCTTTCTGTACATAATGGGTTAAAAAAAAAAAAAAAAACAAAGCTATGTCTGTTTGAAGCATAGTCCCTAGGTCTTAACCCAGATCTACAAACCAGTCATAATACTAAGAGTAACCATTTAATAAGGACCTCCAATGTATTCAGCACTTCATAAACACTATCATTTAATTTCACAATATCTCTGCAGATGTGCATGTTATAGATGTTCAGGTTGAATAATTCATCTAGATAGTACAGTCAATACCTGGGTGCCAGGGTGCTAGCACAGGTTAATCCTTACCCCAAATCCTAGGTTCTAGGCCAGGGTTTCTCCACACCACTGACCAGAGTGTTCTTTATTGTTAGGGGCTGTCCTGTGCTTTCTAGGACGCCTAGTAGCATATCTGGCCTCCACCCATTAGATGACAATAACATCCCTCCCTACTCCAGTTACAACAATAAAAAATGTCTCCAGACATTACTAGAAATCTCCAGGGGGTGGGAAAGATCAATGTCTCTCTTCATGAAGAACCACTGTGGTGGGATAAACCACCCTGTATATTATGTTCCATACTTGACAAGTACATAAGTCATCATTAAGAAGAGAAAGCAAGAACCACACACAACCCTCCAGGAAAATATTGCTAGAGTTACAATTTAGTGAGTACTTTCATAGATATCACTTCTTTTCATAGCATCTAGATACACAGAGATCTCATCCTAAAAGAGTTAATCAACCTCAAAAATATTAACACTCTCAGGGCTGGGGTTGTGGCTCAGTGGTAGAGCATTCATCTAGCACGTGTGAGGTCCTGGGTTTGATCCTCAGCACCACATAAAAATAAACAAACAAAATAAAGGTGTTGTGTACAACTAAAAAATAAATATATTTTTAAAAATAATGAACACTCTTGAGAGATCTACCTGTTTAGACTTCTCCAGGAAATTGAAAGAAAAGAACTTACAGTGAAATCCGTAGTAATGCTTAGCCCTATAAGCCATTAAGAGAAAAACCTTTGACCAACAATGTACAGTCATGAGAGAGCACATTATGTGAACTTCTGGAGGTCAAAGCCTGTGTCTTGTGTCTCTCTCCAACTCTAGCACTTGCTAAAACCCAGGGAACTCTCATAAAAGGTTGAGTATTTCATGAAACACAACCTGTTTCATAGCAATCCCTTAACGTCTGATTAAAATTAGCATAAAATTGTTTTTCATCTTGCTAACATATCTATATATTAAGTAAAATACATAAATTTGAAAAAATTCACACCAAGATTTACAAAAGAGCTGAGAATTTAGTGACAAGCCATTCTTCCATGTCCTTTAAAAAAACAAAGCCTAGCAAACTCATGTTTTAACTAAAGGGATATTTACTGGAATCATCCTTTTCAATATATGGCAAGAGAATGATAACTATTTCATTAGAAAAATATTTTCATTGGATCAGGGAAAAAATTATAGTAGAGGCTTTAAAACTAATTTTTCCTTCAGATTTTAACTACTATACCAAACTGTAATGCATAGTCCTAACTGGTATATTCATTTTTAAAACATCAGGATTCAAAATAAAGTAACTAACTGGTTGTTTTTAAGGTTGCCCTTTAAACACTCCTAAAATGATAAGAGGATAAAAACAAAATATTATCATGTACATATTCAGTTGTTACAACTCAGATAAAAGGAAAATCGTTACTTGAAAAATTATAAGTTTTCACATGGATTCAAAGAAATGTTTATATAAAGCTACCAATAAATAATTTTAATAATAAAAATAGACCCTCTATGCATTCATTATATGTCAGGCACCAAGCTAGGTATTCTACATGTATAAATCTTATTTAATCTTTATCACAACCCCATGAGACACATAACTATTAGTAACTTCTTTTTAAGGTAAGAAAACTGAGGCTGAAAGAAGTGAAACAACTTGTCCAAGACCACAGCTAGATCAGATTTGAGCCATGACTGCCTGAAAATTTATGACATATAATCTAAAAAAGGGGGGGGTAGAATTTATGGAAATAGAAGAAAAGCTGCATGTTCAGTTAATTTCTCATGTTGCATGGCCTAGAATCCTAAAGTTGAAAGGAATTTTCAGAAATCATTCTCTTCCACTTGCTTCTGTAAAATTCTTTCATATGAAGACTCAATCACAAGGCATTACTTGGAATAAGTGGCTTTCTGAGTATCTTTTTTGTGTGTGAGAAAACAAGTCTCTTATTTGTTTTGCTTTCTGAAAATATGCAGTAATGGAAACTGCCTAGCAAAGAATATCAAGAAGGGGAAAAGAAAGGTTTATTTCCTCTAGCCCACTATGTCATAAAGTATAACAATAAACTGATACAACCAGGTTTTATTCTCACACATACTAGAGCATAAATACCCAAGTGAGGATTGTACTTTGGAGTAATTATTTTTCCCATTCTGAAAACATATACCTTTTAGAATTACCAGCCCTTCGTGAGAATTTTCATTATTTTAATGGGCACACTTTATATTATAACCTCAATTCTCTACTCCAGAAGCCCAAGTTGGCCCCACTAGGTGTTTGGCTCCTTCCCAACTGAAGAAGGTTGACCATCACTGAGGCAATTTGGTAAATGTGCTGCAAACTCAGAAGGCAACTACAAAGCAGGAGCTCCAAAATTATTCCCAGCAATGACAGCATCACTAAGATTAGTACGTGGTTTGCCAAGAGGAGACATCTGAAAGGGAGAAATACTCATCTGAATGTATAAATACTGGCATATTTATTTTAACATTTGGATAAAGAATTGGAAGCATCAGCCAGCTTTATGCCCAAGTGAATAAATATGCTGCTGCAATGATAATGCAGATTTTTGGTGCAAGATTCTGACCACTTAATAACACATATACCTCCTTAATGAAACAAAACTTGTCTTAAAATGATACTTGCAAAATGAATACTTCCCTTTCCCTTTAACTTGCATAATTACTGAGGAGATTTCCTTTTTATGAAGAAGCTGGGGAGATCAGAACCAGCAACAAATGCTAGTGGCCAAAACACTCCTCCTTGAAAGTTCATCAATCTCAGTGTGTGTCAGAAGATGGACCTATACACTTAGCACAGAAGGAAGAAGGAGGGAACACCTTTTCTCTGTCCCAAACCTAGGTATCTTGCAATGAATAAATCCACTTAACAGGATTCACAGATCCTGGGTCTTCCTGAGTAGCTGTTAGAGCAAATAAACTAATTACAATACACAATTAGCAATATACGATATATTAATAAAAGGTAGTCAAACATTATTTAAATAATTGAAGGGAGTTGTGCACCCAAGACAACAGAAAATAAAAAAATAAACTATCAGATCAAGCTCTGCCATCTGATCGTTTTTATATACACACTTGGTTACCCCATCCCATTAAGTGCTAAGGCCAAGCAGTCTGGCTCCGTTTCAGTTGACTTGGCCCAGGGTATAGCAGCTCAGGGATGGGTACAGGCTGTGGCTGATCTTAACAGGGCAGTCAAGGGCAGTCAACCTTCCATACAGGCAACTTCCTATTAACTGCAGTAAAGAGAAGCTTCACTGATACAAACAATCCCAAACTACAATACCTCGTGTTTACTGGGCTGTGGAATGTAGTGCATTTATGGGCTGGTGTGTGTGTGTGTGTGTGTGTGTGTGTGTGTGTGTGTGTGTGTGTGTGTTGTCGGTCTCCTCCAGTTTTTACTCCAAAACAGCCTCTGAGGAAGCAGAGGAGCAAGTAGTGTGTGTATCTAAAAACTACACACACCTTTATTATATGAGTTACGCCTAAAGTACACATACTATAGATATTATCTGTTTATTTGAAATCTCACTCCGTAACTATTATTTCTATCACAGACTCTTCTGATCGGGTCCCTGGAATAAATAATTTTTAAGCCAGGTCAGAAATATAGGGTGCAATTTAG